GGAATGCTTTCAGCTTTTCACCACTGAGTATGAAGCTACCTATAGGTTTGTCATGTATGGCCTTTATTATGTTGAGGTATGAACACTCTGTGCCCAATTTCGGGAGAGTTTATATCATAAATGGGTGCTGAATTTTGTCAGAAGCTTTTCTCTGCATTTATTGAGATGGTCATATGGCTTTTATTTTTCAGTTTGTTAATATGGTGTATCACTTTGATTTATTTGCATATATTGAAGAATCCTTGCATCCCTGGGGTAAACCCCACTTGATAATGGTGTTTCTTCCTTTCAATGTGGTGTTGGATTCTGTCCGTTAGAACTTTGTTGAGGATTTTTGCCTCTATGTTCTTCAGTGATATTGGCCTGTAATTTTCCTTTTCTGTGATATCATTGTCTGGTTTTGATATCAGGATGATGATGTCCTCACAGACTGAGTTTGGGAGTTTTCCTCCCTCTGCAGTTTTTTAGAACACTTTGAGCAGAGATAGGTGTTAGTTCTTCTCTAAGGCAACAACATTTCAAAGGAATGAACATTGCATGTAAGAGAGCTTTTCCACTTTTAGACTCTTGTTTATATTTACATGTACATTCTCAAAGTTCTTTTCAAAATTGAGCACCAAATACTTTGTGTTCCCAGAAACACCCATATGCCAAAATAAAATTCTTCCATTCAAAGATGAGGTGTTTTCCCTTCTTTATTTAATTTATTTGAAATGGGAGAAAATGGAGGTGTGTGAAAACCACAGTTTCCTGAGAATGCTCCAAGGCAAACACTGTGTCAACTTCAAATAAGGAAAGTTGTGGTTTCCTGCATATCTCCCAATATTGTGATGACTGTTTCTTGCAGGTGTGGAAGAGAGATTAACAAATCTCTATTTGTTAATAAAGATTGCTTAGGCCTTTAAGCTTCAAAATACCTTTATTTAAATTTAAGATGTTTGACTGTATTTCAGTTCTTCTGTAAACCTCCACAACATTTTTAGTCTCTCCTCTGAAGTTTATCACGTTCTGCTTTGGATTAGTTATTTGTGCCTTTGTTTTAACCTTTTAAATTAGTGAAAGATTGTGAGCCTCAGGAGATGATATTTGTATCCTTATGTGTAAGATTTCACCTTCACATAATAAAGCATCCTTAGTCATTCAGTTGAGTCACGTCTGACTCTTTGACACCCCATGGACTGCAGCACACCAGGCCTCCCTGTCCATCAGCAACACCCAGAGCTTGCTCAAACTCATGTCCATCAAGTCAGTGATGCCAACCAACCATCTCATCCTCTGTCGTCCCCTTCTCCTCCTGCCCTCAGTCTTTCCCAGCATCAAGGTCTTCTCAAATGAGTCGCTCAAATGAGCGACTGAACTGAACTGAAGTCAGATTACTCTGAGATATCTTCCAGAGCACAGAAGAAGGATTGCTAAGTAAATTCAAAGATAAAGTGATTCTTATCAAGGTAGTGTTACTTAGCATCTACACTAGATATGCAGGTACTACCACTGTGGTAAGTGGTAAGATGCAGCTATTCTGGAAAAAGAAATGCCCAGGTCATTAAAGCTCTTTGCAAGTTGTCAAAATAGAGATTTGGGAACAGTAATAAATATGGCTTTGAACAATTATACATTAATTCATTTAGTCAAAATCTATTTTGGATTCCCATAACTTCTTATCTAAAACATGTGAAATTAACTCACATGATAAAAATAGTTACTTTCAAGTTTTTCTGCTTTACAGGCACAGTTTTTCATATATCATCGGGAATTTTCTTTGAAGTGAATTGAATTTTTAGTAGCTACGCAGGGAAAATGTACTGAAAGAAACAATTCAAGAAAAAAACAGATGCTGTTGGAATGTCTTCTTTTCCCTTGTAACCTGAACAAAGATTCTTGTGGTGTGTATAACGTTTGTCAGGACTAGTTGTTTTTGTTGCCATTGTCGTTGTTTTCACATATAAGTGTTTTTACATAGAATTAGTCTTGAGGATTAAGAAATAGTGCCTCTGCATTGAATACCAAATTGTTTCTACTAAGCCAGAATATCTTACTGTATCACAGTTCAGGAAGCACATCTACTGCATTTAGGGCTATAACCCATTGCCTCAATTTGGCAGCAAAACTGTCACGGCAGTGTTTTTCTGTTAAATTCAAGTTTTAAACATCATGAGCTTGCTTTAAAAAAAAAAGTTTTTTTCTATTTTCATTAGTTTTTGGTTGATCCCCACTGAAGGTTCTTGCATGTGATATAGAGCAACATTAACTCTTTCCATTAAGGACCATATCGTAAATATTTTAGGCTTTCTAGGCCTTAGAATCATTGTCACAACTGCTGAACAATACAACTGTGACTTAGTGCAGCCATAAATAGTATGTGAATGAATGAATTTGGTTTTATGTTCCCATAAAACTTTATTTTTAAAAGCAGATAGGTGAGAAACTGGCACACGAGTTAGTTTGCCAGCCACTGATTTTGAAAATCAAATACTTCTACAAGATTTGTGTGTGCGTGTGTGTGTGTGTGTGTGTGTGTGTGAGAGAGAGAGAGAGAGAGAGAGAGAGAGAGAAATGACAGCTCTCTATTGGTCATTCCCCACCTTCAATTACAGTTGATGCTTATGGAATTTACCCCCACATCAGTATGTTTATATTAATACATTTTAAGCACTAGCTGTTGTCTTCCGGCTGTGGTTTACAAGGATTTAGATCTCTTTCCTCCTTCAGCTTCTGTGTCATATATGTACCCTCTTTATCCCTTGTCTTCCTAATATGCTTGGGTCAGATTTAGATGAGGTGAACATATAGTGATTATGTTATTTTGGCTGTGAGTCATTTAGTGAATGTTTATTACTTTTGTGTTTCTGTATAATATTTCTGCTTATAGTTTGTCATTATTATGTTTATTTTGTTGATTGTCTGTGTACTCTATGTAAAACCAAATTCCTCATTGGTTTTTGAAATCTCTCAAGATATTTAATAACACTAGGTATTCTAAATATAAATCTAAATCCCCTGTCACCATCATGAGCATTTCTTTTGCCTGGATTTCCTATTTCTCGTATCTATGCCTTCCTCACTCTTTTTGTTTCCTTCCTTATGTTAGTGGAGCCAGTAGCTTCTTCCAACTTGGCTTGTGGGAGGGTACATCCAACCTTTACTTCAGTGTTATTCCCTTTCTGTCTCCTGTGTCTCTGTACCTAAGTGTCTTCCTTATAAGGACACCAGTCATAATAGATTTAAGGCCCATCCTAAACCAGTATGCTGTCCTCTTAATTATATCTGCAATGCCCGTGTTCCTATTTCCAACTAGGATCACGTTTTCAGTTTCTTGTTAGGTATAAAATTTGAGAATAATACCATTTGACCCAAGATAAAAGGTAATGAGGCAGCAAGTGGTCCTAGCACAGGATTTGCACCAGGTCTAAAGTTGTTTTCTTAGTGATTTTTACCTAGATAAATTCTCCAAACAGAATAGATTTCAAGCAGTTACCTTCCTTTTCCTTAGGTACTCATCTGTGTTTATTACTGGGAGGAAAAAAAAAGCCTTATTGGGCTATTAACAATGAGGATAAATGTAAAGATGTTTAAAGCTGATAGCTCTGCTTTCACACACTGATGAAATTTTTACATACTTCAGGGAGTGTTTATTGAATACCAACTATTATCAATTATTGTTTTAGGCACTAGGTCTACAGGAATGTGGAAGACAAAAGTCCCTGCCTCTTGTGATGTGAAGTAAATGGTGAAGAAAAGTGTTGTTTTAATTCAGATGACATTTGAGCAGAGACTTGAATACAATGAGATGATCAGCCAAGTAGAGAAGAACTTGAAAAGGGATAGCTTAAACATCAGAAGGCAGTAAAGCTTTCATAAGTAAAGAACCCATAAGGAAGTAGCATGATCTGGTTACATTTAAACTTCACTGTCACTGCTATATGGAAAATAGTCTGTGGGAAAACAAGAGCCAGTGGAGAATGACCAGTTATGGGCTTATTACGTTGGTCCAGGTGAGAGGTGTTAGTGATTTGGTCAAAGAAAGTAAGTAAAAATGGTGATTAGTGACTGGTTCTGGATAGATTTTGCAGATGAAATCACAGGATTTGCTGAAGGATTTATTGTGAGCTGTGAAGAAAGGAGAAATGTAATGGAAGAATCATCAGTTTTAGCCCTTAATCACCAGAAAAATTAAACTTATATCTAATAAGATGGAAAAAGGTTTAAAGTTTAAGGAGAAAATCACAGCATTTTCTTTTAACATGTCAACTAGGTAGTTGGATATATGAGTCTGGAGATCAAGTTAGAGCTTGAGGTAGAAATTTGGAAGTTTCAACCACAGATGATGTTAATTTAAAGTAGTCTGAACTCTGAATTTTCTCAGTGAATAAATACTATGTGTGTGTGTCTGTATGTTTGTGTATGTGTATACACACACACACACACACACACATCATTATATGTATATAATCCCATTCACTCATCAGCAAACATCTACAAACTGTTGGCTATAAGCCAGGCACGGGTGAAAGGTTCTGAGAATGAAATAGTGGTATTAGTCATTCAACATAAAAATATGTAGTATTTGATCATTTTAGGTCTCTAGTAAATGGAACTTTAGGCATTATAGTAGTCATGGATTATATCACCCAGCTTAGTACTAATATGTTACTTGATTCTTTCATGTTATTTTAGTCTTCTATACTAGATTTTTAAACTCTTTGACTGCAGGATCTATATTACATTTTTTAAAATATACATGTGATGCCTACCACAATTCTGGAACAATATTAATTACTCAAAGAATATTTGAGTATAATAATTTTAACTGTCAAGAACAGTAGTATTTTTTTCAGCTTGTTATCTTTAGAATGCATTATATAGGTGAGTTATCTAGTAAGAATATTAACAAATTTCTTTTCCCTAATTCTTAACTTTTAAAAATTATAATGAGTTGCATTTTATTCACTCCTTAGTAGTGTTAGTTTTTATTCCCACGTGTTTATTATTTCAATTTGCAGCCTGATTTGACTGCGGCTGAAAGAGCAGTTGCTAGACTAGCTGTGCACCCTCTTCTGAAGAAAAAAATAGATGTGCTGAAAGGTATGAATTAAATGACTTAAGCCATTTTCAGTAAATAAATGGCCATTCATTTATTTACTTGCATGATTTTTTTTTTTACTTTTGAGGATCTTTTATATTATAAATGTCCTTTCAAATGCTTACAAATGTAGGAAACTACCTGAAAATTTTTTATATTTAAAAAATTCTGCATTTTTCTAAATTCCTTAATTTTGTAAATTCTTAACATAGATAATACTCATGATAATATTAAATACAACTGACTTTCTAAATATTTTGCTGTGCTTAGTCGCTCAGTTGTGTCCAACTCTCCAACCCCATGGACTGTAGCCTGCCAGGTTCCTCTGTCCATGGGGATTCTCAAGGCAAGCATCCTGAAGTGGGTTGCCATGCCCTCCTCCAGAGGATCTTCTCAACCCAGAGATCGAACCCATGTCTCCCGTCTTGCAGGCAGATTTTTTTTTACCATCTGAGCCACCAAGGAAGCCCTTTCTAAATATTGATGTAATTCATATTATTACTTACTTTGCCATTAGTCACATAATTTTTATTTATATTTGTGTATTATAAAATAAGATGGTTACAATAACCCTATATGCAAATCAGAAAAAGAAACACAGATGTACAAAACAGACTTTGGGACTCTGTGGGAGAAGGCAAGGGTGGGATGTTTTGAGAGAACAGCGTCGAAACATGTATATTATCAAGGGTGAAACAGATCACCAGCCCAGGTTGGGTGCATGAGACAAGTGCTCGGGGCTGGTGCACTGGGAAGACCCAGAGGGATCGGGTGGAAAGGGAGGTGGGAGGGGGGATCGGGATGGGGAATACATGTAAATCCATGGCTGATTCTTGTCAGTGTATGACAAAAAGTACAATGAAAGAACTAAATGCTTCTGTCACAGATTAGAAGATAATTATTTTTATGCCTGAAAGCACAATTTATAATACCCTGCAATTGTATTAATACATTATTGCTATAGAAATTAAAGTTGCCATTTTATTCATTTATATTTAGTGAAGTTTTTACTGTTCTTAACATCATACATGAAGGAATAAATTTAACTTTAGAGATTTAAAATGGATATCTCTGAGCATTTCATACATGTTCTGGTTTTCTAAAAGTTAATAGAGTTCTTTGTGAATTTGCACTTATTATATATATGTAATTTAAATTCCAATCATTTTGTTAAGAATTTCCAAATAATTTAAGAAATACGGTACTAAAGCAGTGATGTTTTTTATTATTTGTTTCAGTGCTGAAACAAGTCATGTCCTGTTTCTCTTGCAGCTGCTGTCAAATCCTTTAAAGATGCAAGACAAAATGTTGTTGAAGATAAGTCATCAAACAGTGCTTCAAAAGAAAATCATTCCAAGGACACTTTGTGTTCAAATGATGATGCCAATAAGTTACAGCATGAAGGAACTATTATCCGTGAACAAGAAGAGAAGGAAGCCAAAATATTGGCAAAGAAACCGATAAATAATTCAAAAGAAAAAATAGCCAAGATGGATCATGGACCCAAAGCAATGGGCGTCCCAAAATCTCTATCAAAGCCTTCCGAAAAAGATTCTGCAACTCCCTCAGCATTGCAGAAGATACCTGCTGACCCCAAAATGAAAGCATTAAGTGAAACCAAAAAAGTGAAAGAGTGCAGTAGCTCACTTGATGTTGAGAGTGATGGAGAAGAATTACATGAAGAAGAGAAGGAATATTTTGATGATAGCACAGAAGAAAGGTTTTACAAACAATCTTCCATGTCTGAGGATAGTGATAGTGGTGATGACTTCTTCATTGGGAAAGTCAAACGGGCACGGAAGAAGGAAAGTAGTTGTCGTTTATCAGATAAGGAACAAAACCCCCCCAAAAAATTGTTGCTTGAAGAAGATATACCTGAAACCCATCAAAATTTACAAAATGATAAAAACAAGCCACATACAGAGGGAAGGAGGTTTGAATCAGTGTTTTTCCATTCTTTATCTGGATCTAAGAACCTTGAAAGGTAAGAGTATTTTTTCATTCTGAAATAATTATTAATTCTTAATTTTTGAAAGGCGTGAAATATCTACACATCCTGACATTGAGACGGCTCTCTCTCATGCATAATTCTAGTTTGTACAGAATTTGTGTTTAGACTTGGCCCTCTCCAGCTTTATATTGGAGTAATATATACAAATACATGTATGATAATGCCAAATTCTTCCAGCCTCACCAGAAAATGAGATAATATAGATAAGTAATTTATCTGATTTAAAGTCTAGCTAATTTAAGTTTATTCCTTCACTTATCAAAGTTTTGAAACTTTTGAGTTAGCTTTTGGTGAAAACTTTTGAAAATGTCTCATGTGTCTCAGTTTCTAAACAGAACTTTCTGAAAAGACTGTGGTGAATTTTTGTTTTGTTTTGTTTTTTCTCTTGTTGACCTAGAGCATTATTGTAAAACAATTGTTTTGTACCTTTTCCTGTTTCAGTAGATAAGGCTGCTTGCTTGCCCTGACACCGAGTATCTCCAGACTGCTTTCTGTTTGGTGGTGCTTATACTTAGTGGTCATCCTTATCCCTTCTGTAATCACTGCTTTTTTGCAGCTGTTTTGTTGTAAATCAGTAGGTTTAATTTCATTTGTAATTCTAATGTTAGGCGGTATCTTTACATTTTAGAATAAAAATCATGGTTAGCTATTTTCTTCAGTAAGCTTTTTCTATAATTTATAGGTTAGGCATAATTTTTAATAGAACAGAAAAAAAGTGATGTTGAAATTTTCCCAGAAAGTAAGAGTATGGATAAGACACATAAACCATCTTTGAAGCCTTGAAAATTATTAAATTAATCCTTTTAACTCCCAACTCTGCCTTCAAAAGATTTATTTTTTTTCCTCACTTGAAAATTATACACCACTATCCCTTTCTTCTCCCCAAAATTGTTAACTTAATTTTTGTTACATGTGATTCATTGCTCCAGTAAGAAGATTTTTGAAATTCTTTGTCTAGATAGTTCTTAAGCGTCCAAGGTAACCAAGATGATATTCTATAGCCAGAAGTCACGATAAGGATGTTGAGAGAAAGATTCCTACATGTTTCTGTGGTGATCCTGTGCTCAGTCGCTCAGCCATGTCTGACTCTGCGACCCCATGGCCTGTAGCCCACCAGTGTCCCCTGTCCATGGGATTCTCCAGGCAAGAATGCTAAAAGGGGCTGCTGATCCCTACTCCAGAGGATCTTCCCCACCCAAGGATCAAACCCATGTCTCTTGTGTCTCCTGAATTGGCAGGTGGATTCTTTACCACCCTTATTAGTGCCACCTAGGAAGCCCATAGTGATATTGGGATCTAACAAACCTTTGATGTAGCTAAAACATGGGGTTTTCATAATTTTTTTATTGTTTCTAGTGGGGGAGGTAAAAGAGCATGATAGTTTTTAAAGTGAGTTTTATCAGCATTCTTATTATGTTGTCTTCTTAAAGTCAGAGGATTTGTTTCAATATTAAATATCCTAATGGTGTTTTTCTTTTAGGAATCACAGAGAACAAGTTCCAAGAAGCAAAACCCCGGGTATGTACTAAGAACTACCTGACTTCCACATACAGTTGAGCAGTGCTTTTCCAAAGAAGAAAGAAGAAAAACTCTGGTTGCTTACTTATTATTTAGTCATGAAGTCGTGTCTGAGACTTTTGTGTCTGAGTCTTTTGTGACCCCATGGACTGTAGCCTGCCAGGCTCCTCTGTTCATGGGATTTCCCAGGCAAGAATACTGGAATGGGTTGCTGTTTCCTTCTCCAGGGGATCTTCCCGAGCCAGGGATTGAACCTGTGTCTCCTGATTCTTAACCGCTGAGCCACCAGGGAAGCCTGGTTGCTTAGTAGTCCGAATAAATTCTGTACCCACAGAAATGAAAATACAGCATCTTATAATTATCAGTATAGTTTTTTGTTTTTTTATTTTATGTGTTTTTTTAATTCTCTATGTTCTGCCAGTAGGAAAGATACAGACAAAACATATCAGTTATGTTGAGTCTGTTTGATTTCAGTTCAGTTCAGTCACTCAGTCGAGTCCGACTCTTTGTCAGACTGCAGCACCCCAGGCCTCCCTGACCATCAGCAACTCCCGGAGTTTACTCAAACTCATGTCCATTGAGTTGGTGATACCATCCAACCATCTCATACTCTGTCATCCCCTTCTCCTCACGCCTTCAGTCTTTCCCAGCATCAGGGTCTTTTCTAATGAGTCAGTTCTTTGCTTCAGGTGGTCAAGTATTGGAGTTTCAGCTTCAGCAACAGTCCTTCCAATGAATATTCAAGACTGATTTCCTTTAGGATGGACTAGATCTACTTGCAATCCAAGGGACTCTCAAGAGTCTTTGCCAACACCACAGTTCAAAAGTGTCAGTTCTTTGGCAGTCAGCTTTCTTTATAGTCCAACAACCATGCATGACGACTGGAAGAACCATCGCTTTGAATAGATGGACCTTTGTTGGCAAAGTAATGTCTCTGCTTTTTAATATGCTGTCTAGGTTGGTCATAGCTTTTCTTCCAAGGAGCAAGCGTCTTTTATTTTCATGGCTGCAGTCACCATGTTCAGTGATTTTGGAACCCAAAAAATAAACTCTCTCAGTTTTCATTGTTTCCCCATCTATTTGCCATAAAGTGATGGGACCAGATGCCATATCTTAGAATGTTGAATTTAAGCCAACTTTTTCACTCTCCTCTTTTCACTTTCATCAAGAGGCTCTTTAGTTCTTCGCTTTCTGCCATAAGAATGGTGTTATCTGCATATCTGAGGTTATTGATATTTTTACAGGCAATCTTGATTCCAGCTTGTGCTTCATGCAGCCTAGCATTTCACATGATGTACTCTGCATATGTGTTAAATAAGCAGGGTGATAGTATACAGCTTTGATGTACACCTTTCCCGCTTTGGAACCATTCTGTTGTTCCATGTCTACTTCTAACTGTTGCTTCTTGATCTGCATACAGATTTCTCAGAAGGCTGGCAAGGTGATCTGGTATTCACATCTCTTGAAGAATTTTCCACAGTTTGTTGTGATCCACACAGTCAGGCTTTAGTGTAGTCAATAAAGCAGATGTTCTTTCTGGAATTCATTGGTTTTTTGATGATCCGATGGATGTTGGCAGTTTGATCTCTGGTTCCTCTGCCTTTTCTAAAACCAGCTTGCACATCTGGGTGTTCATGGTTCACGTATTGCTGACGCCTGGCCTGGAGAATTTTGAGCATTACTTTACTTTTGAGTGCAATTGTGCAGTAGTTTGAACATTCTTTGGCATTGCCTTTCTTTGGCATCAGAATGAAAACTGAGCTTTTCCAGCCCTGTGGCCACTGCTGAGTTTTCCAAATTTGCTGGCATATTGAGTGCAGCACTTTCACAGCATCATCTTTTAGGATTTGAAATAGCTCAGTTGGAGTTCCATCATCTCCACTAGCTTTGTTTGTAGTGATGCTTTCTAAGACCCACTTGACTTCACAGGATGTCTGGCTCTCGGTGAATGATCACACCATTGTGATTATCTGGGTCATGAAGATCTTTTTCGTACAATTCTTCTGTGTATTCTTACCACCTCTTCTTTGATATCTTGTGCTCCTGTTAGGTCCATACTGTTTCTGTCCTTTATTGATCCCATCTTTGCATGAAATGTTCCCTTGGTATCTAATTTTCTTGAAGAAATCTCTAGCCTTTTCCATTCTATTGTTTTCCTCTATTTCTTTGCATGGATCACTGAGGAAGCTTTTCTTATCTCTCCGTGCTATTCTTTGGAACTCCGCAGTCAAATGGGTATATCTTTCCTTTTCTCCTTTGCCTTCTGCTTCTCTTCTTTGCATTTATGAGAGAGCCATACCTTTACTCTTATCTCTGCCCCAGGGCTAAATCTCTGTAGGTCTTTACTGCTTAAAATCTTTCTCAATCATACCTCTCACAGTCTGGAGTCCAAAGGCTTTTCTAAACCTTAAATTGCCAAATATCTGTACCCTCTTTTCCCTTTTGTATCTGCCCGTGAACTGGCCAGTTCTTTCCTGAACTGTTCTCTTTTTCTTTCTAGTACTTTGCCAAAGAGCCATCAGTACACTAATCTTTTTATTCTTTCCAGACACTTATCTTGTGCTGCAGTTCCATAAGCATGTAGCCTGCTTCCCACGTTTTAACTAGCAACAGTTTTACCTTTTCCTAACACATACATGGGATACTCACTTGCAGCCTTAGATATCATTGCCTTACTATCTACTAAGGAACTGTAAAACCCATGCCACATTTTTATGTTATTTTAATGACTGTATTAAAGTACTAGGTTTGGAAAATACATGGCTTTATATTCACAAATACAGAATAGCTGCAAATTTAAAAATTCCCACATCTTCCTAGTGAGAAGACCCAAGTAGAATGTGTTTTTGTTTTTATTTAGCTTATAAATTTATGATATTTAATTTATCCATTTATTTCCCATGCAAGTATGCTTTATATAGTTATTAAAATACATATCAGTTTAGAAATACTATCTTATTCAAATTTTAGGTTACATGAAATGGTTTCATTTAACATTTTAATTCTCCACTGTTTATCACTAGAGGCACTCTTGGAGTATTAGACTTTTGGAGCACATGTGATTTGTACAAGATATGGGATGTTTTGAGTCTGTGTGCAGTGATCTTTTGGAAATGTTATCCCAATTGTACACTTGTTTCAACAACATTATAACATTTTCTTATTAAAATCTTTAAAAGGCTTCTTGGCAATGATCACTAACTAGCAGTGGAAAAATTATGCACCCCTAGGACTGATTAATAAATTGGTATTAAATTTTCTGCCTTGTCTTTCTGATCCTATAAATGTGCATTGATTCAGTCCTTCCAGGCCCGTATGTCTCCCAGTACTTTTTTCAAAATAATGTAATAGAAGTTTCTCATAATGAAAGAGGTAAGAGCTAGATTACAAATTGCCACCCTCATATTTGGTGGATAACTTTATGGTTCGAAAAGAACAGTGTCTTAAATTTGAGTAGATATAGCAGTTACTTTGCAGTCACATTTTTTGTTCAGTAACAGAAGGGAGTGGAATCAATTAATAGCCCTTTAAATAGCTCACCCATCAACACTGTTGAATTCAATATTTTAGTTAAAACATGTGAATTTTCTGGCTGCATTGCTCCACACAGAGATATCATATGCCAGTGAATCATACTCCTTTAAAAATACAAGATACTCCCCTTTTAAAATTTTGTTTCCTTATGTGTTGTCTGGACTGTGTTTCCTTTCTTAATGTAAAAAGATAGAACAGCTTATACTAGGAGGCCTGCAACAGACATCTATTGACAATGGTTAGAAAGCATGTGTCCCAAAATTCACTGGCCATGTGTATTTCAACTTCAAACTTCCCAGCAGGGCTTAGATATTTTATTTTTGTGTGAGGTATTCTACTTAAGTAAAACTAAATTTCTTCCTTAAATACTGGTTTGAGAAGATAAAATGTTTTTGTCTTCTATGCTATTTATGTATAGACTTAGTTTTCATTAATTTTGTTTTCTCCTGCAGATTTTCAGCACATTGAACCTCAGATCAAGAATCAGTTTAATAAGAAAGCACAAAGAGGATTTGAAAATACAAAACAGAAATCACAGCTGCCTCTTCATCCTTCATGGGAAGCAAGCCGGCGGCGAAAAGAAGAGCAATCCAAAATTGCTGTGTTTCAGGGGAAAAAAATTACCTTTGATGATTGATCAGTACTATATTTTTCTTAACTTCTAAATCTCTTCAAATGTTTGACTTCTTGCTACTGGGAGAAATTAAAGTTCTTGGTTAACTAAGTAACCAAAAAAGTTAAAAAATAATGTTTCTATTCCTACCCAGATTTAGCCAAACCATGAGGTTGAGAGCACTATTCATCGACCCAACACTTCTAACCCCAAATTCAAGGAGTTAGGGTTTGACTACAAAGTTAGAGGAAAGAGGCCACACAAGACTACTCACTTCTGACACCAACTGCAGATTTGGAGATTGCAGGGGAGGGCTCCCCAAATACTGTCAGATTCAAAAATTTGCTTGCAGAACTCACTAAAACCTATTATATTCCTAGTTACAGTTCATTATACAGTTTAGCGACTGAACAACAACAGATAGTTCATTACAAGGAAAGAGTACAGACTATAACCAGCCAGAGGAAGAAATGCATAGGGCAAAGTCTGTGAGGGTTCTAAAAGCAAAGTTTCTCTTGTCCTCAAGTTGCATTGCCATCCTTGCATCAATGTGTACAGTGTTGCCAATCTGAAAAGCTCACCCCAATTTTAATGTCCAAATTTTTATTGTATCTTTCATATATAGACATGCTCAGTTGATTGCCCATGTGATTGTTTCAGATGGACTGATAATATCATATGACCCAAAGACTCATCCTAAATGACATGGTAGGTCTTTTTTAGTGCAGCCAACCCCTGCTCTAAACAAGGACACTCCTACGAGGTGTGACGTGGAGTGCCTCTGTGAAGCTGAAGGCGAAGGCGGTTTCTCTCTGGGCAAGGCCAGGTTCTTTACTGCACAGCATCTGTCACCCGAACTCCCCCAGTATTAGCAATTTTTCTGTATCTGCTTTATCTTTGGCTCTCATACTCCCTTCTCTCCTCCTTTTTTCCTTCCTTTTCCCCTTTCTCCTTCCTTTTTTATAATCTTTATCCCTTCATCTCTCTTTTCCTCATTTTATCCCTGTCTCCCTTTCCATCTACTCTCTTCCTCTCATCCTTTTATCATTTCTTCTATTTCTCTACCCTGTTTGTAGCCTCTCTCTAAAAACAAGTCATTCTCTGTTCTTTTGTATTACCACAATTCAGTTATCAAATATTAAGATTTTGCCAATTGTCCCAGTGTCTTTTTACAGCAACAGAAAAATCAGCATCAAGCCTTACATCCAGTGGTCACCTTACATTCAGTTATCTCTCTTTGGTTGGAAACAGTACCTCAGTCTCTTAGGATTTCATGACATCGACCTTTTTCAAAAGTGCAGATCAGTTATTTTGCAGTGTCCTTTTCTTAGGGCTTGTCTAATACTCACATTTTCATATTCAAGTTACGCACTTTTGGCAGGAATGTTGCAGAAGGAATGTTGCATTTGTCCTGTTGCATCATATCTGAGGTTAGGTGATGATGTTGATATGGCTGGGCCTTTACTGATGGTGTTAACTTTGCTTACTTGTTTTAAGTGGTATTTATATGGTTTTTCCACTGCAGGATTACCATTTTCTCTTTGTAATGAATAATTATCTTGTGGGGAGATACTTTGAGACACTGTGAAACTGTCTTGAAACTTTCATGCACTAGTTTTAACATTCATTCATAATTCTTACCTGAAATAATTATTGCTATAGTAGTTTAAATTATGATTTTTTTTTATTTCAGTTTTTCTACACTTATTAGATGGCCTTTTAGAATAAGGGAGAATCTTACATTTTCTCCTATTAATTGAGCTTTTAAATGTATTTCAGTATTATCTCATGGGTACTTCTCTTTTCTCCTTTTCAATTACTTTTAATCAGTTGGCTATTTTTAATTCATTTTATTGATTATTGGATTATAAGATTTATTATAGTATACATCTCAAGTAGTATTTATACCGTTTTACATATGGTCCAAACACCTTACTGTAGTAAATGTTACATTTCTCCCCAAGCTTTTGTACTATTGTTTATATTCATTTTGCTTCTACATTTAACCCTGTAGTGCATTGTTATTGATTTTACTATAATTTCTGTTTGTCTCTGTATCATGTTTATGTTTNGGACGACAGAGGATGAGATGACTGAATGGCGTCACCAACTCGATGGGCATGAGTTTGAGTAAACTCCAGCAGTTGGTGATGGACAGGGAGGCCTGGAATGCTGCGATTCATGGGGTTGCAGAGTCGGACATGACTTAGCAACTGAACTGAAGCTAATGAAGCAGAGACTTTAGTGACCATATACAACAAAGAATACAGATTTCACAAAAATAGTTAAGTCACTAGACAAACAGCAACAAAAAATAGCAACAACAAACCCTAAGGAGAAGAGAATACCTGATTTCTAGAGTTGCAACATATATTATTATTTAAAATGTCTAGTTTTCAACAGAATGTTGTCACATATACACAGCATATGGCTCATATACAAGGAGAAAAAGCAGTCTATAGAAACTGTCCGAAATAGACCCAAACTTTGAATTTATTTGACAAAAACTTTAGGCTATTTTAAATGTGTTCAAAGAACAAAAGGAAACAATATCTAAAGGTCTAAGAGAAAGTTTGAGAACTATTCTTACCAAATAGAGAATATCAGTAATGAGATAGAAATTACAAAGAAGAAAGAAAAAGTTTAGGAATTGAAAAATACATTGCTGAAACAAAATTTTCAGCAGAAGGGTTTGACAATACATTTGAGCAGTTAGGAAGGATTGAGTGAAGCTGACAGTTGATCAATGGAGATTATCCAGTTACAGGAACAGAGGGAAAATAATAATGAACATTAATAGACTCTTGAAGACCCATGGGGATACCATCGAGTGTGTTAATATAGGCATAATGGGAGTCTAATATAACCCCACATTTTCAATCATAGTTGTGTACCCTCAAGAGAATTGAAAACATATTTAAAGGAAAAAATGAATGCACATGTTCATGGGAGCATTATTCATAATAGAGAAAAAGAGGAAAGAACCCAAATATCCATCAGCTGATGACTGGATAAATGGTATATACATGCAGTGGCATATTATTGAGCCATTAAAAAGAATGAAGTATTGATACATATTGTGACATGGATGAATTTTGAAAACATCATGATAAAAAAGAAAACATACACAAAATAGAGTTCTGTTTATGTGAAATGTCTAGAATAGGTAAATCCATTGAGATCCAAAGTAGATTAGTGGCTGCGAAGGGCTGAGGGGGAGAGGAATAGGGAGTGCCTGTTAATGGATGTGACATTTCTTCAAGGACTGGATGTGTTCTGGAATTGGATATTGTAGTGTTGGTTGCATAACTTTGTGAATATACAAAAATCCACTGAATTGTGTGCTTTATAAGGATGCATATTACTGTATGTGAATTATGTCTCATTTTTTTAAATAATAAAATTTTACCTGGGTTAGTGTTTTTTTTCCCCCCCACTCTTCTTCCTTCCATATAGTACTTCATTTGAAATGCATTTTAGTTCAAATATTTCTGATTGTATTTTATTTTAAGGATTATTTTCTCTATCCTTGGTAATTGTATTTATTTTTTTCTTTATGTGAAACGTTAATATTGTTCTGTGTGTTAGAGCTGCATAAAACAGTATACTCAGAGAAGTGGCAGCTCTGCTGTTTGAATTATTTCCTTTTCACCTGAACCCCTCCCTCCCTGTGTAGATTAATCAGTCTCATTTGTCCTTAGTGTATTCTTCCTGTGTTTTTATTTGCAGATTAACAAATATGTATGTTTTTTTATTTCCCCTTTCTTACATAAAAGTTGACATTTTCTAGATACTTTTATAATCCTTGCTTTCACCATTTAAAAATGTTGGGTTGGTCCAAAAGTTCTTTGTTTTTTTCCATAAGATGGCTCTAGTTAATGCTTAGTTGTCTTTAAAATCATTCAAAACAGTTTTGTTAGATTATATTGTGACAGCTGTCATATCAACATGCATTAAAAAGCTTATCAAAATTGGTGAATTTTTGTGTAGCTATTTTAAAATTGAAGATGGGGGGAAATAGCAACATTTTCGACATATTATGCTTTATTATTTCAAGAAAGGTTAAAACAACTAATATGTGAAAAAGATTCATGCAGTGTATGAAGAACATTCTGTGACTGATCAAATATGTCAAAAATGGTTTACAAAGTTTTGTGCTGGAGACTTTTTGCTGAACTATCCTCCATGGTCTTCAGTTAGACCAGTTGAAGTGTTAGCGATCAAATTGAGACATTGAGAATAATCAATATTTTACCACACAGAAGATAGCCAGCATACCCAAAATATCCAACTCAAGTGTTGAAAATAATTTGCACCAACTTGGCCAAGTTAATCTCTTTGACGTTTGGGTTCCACATAAGTTAAGTGAAAAAACCTTGACTATATTTCTGCATGCCGTTCTCTACTGCAAAGTAATGAAGATGTTCTGTTTGTGAAACAAATTTTGATAAACGATGACAAGTGAGTACTGTATAATATTGTAGAACAGAAGAGATCCTGGGGCAAGCAAAATGAACCACCAACCACACCAAAGGCCAAACTTTATCCAAAGAGGGTGATGTGTTTGTGGTGTGATTCTCCAGTCGGAAGGGAGTTCTCTTATGAGCACCTTCTAGAAAACCAAATAATTATTTCCAACAAGTATTGCTCCCAGTTAGACCAACTGAAAGCACTCAATGAATAGTGTCTGGAATTAGTCAACAGAAAATGCATAATCTATCAGGCTACCATAAGACTGCATACTTCTTTGATGACCAGATAAAAACTGTTAAAGCCTGGCTGGGAAGTTCTGATTCATCTACCATTTTCACCCAACATTGCACCTTCACGTGTCCAGTTATTTCAGTCTCTACAAAATTATCTTAATGCAAAAAGCTTCAGTTTCCTAGAAGACTGAAAAAGCACCTGGAACAGTTCTTTGCTCAAAAAGAGAAAGTTTTGGGATGATGGAATGACAAAGTTGCCTGAAAAATGCCAGAAAGTAGTGGAACAAAATAGTGAATATGTTGTTCAATAAAGTTCTTAGTGAAAATGAAAAATGTGTCTTAGTTAAAAACCAAAGGCCAACCCAACATAGTCTGGAAATCACTACAGATCTGTCCATAGAGGTCTTCCTTTAAAATAAAACTAATGAATATAACAAAATAGAAATAGAGAACAAGCTAGTAGTTACCACAGGGGAGAGAGGTGGGGGAGGGGCAAGATAGTTGAAGGGGATTAAGAGGTTCAAACTGCTAGGTACAAAAAAGTATCAAGGACGTAGTACGCAGCACCAGGAGTACGGACAGTTGTGTGAGAGGGACTGTATCCACTGTTGCTTTCTCTGAAGACAGAGAAAGAAGCACGACCTGAGGAAAGCTGGTGGCTCCTGGCAGCCTTCCGTTTACATCCAGGAAGAAAATGGGAATCTCCCGCCTACCACTTCAAAAAACTGAATTCTGCTAACAACATGAATGAGCCATGGAAAGGATCCTACCCGAGAGCCTTAAGAGGAACACAGCCCTGCTGGCACTCTGATTTTAGCCCACTGAGACCCATGTCAGAGTTTAGAACTATTAGTTTATTTTTGTTTAAGCCATTACAGAATAGAAGCGGCATCACACATCATTGAGTAGATCTATTTATTCACTCATTTATGTATGAGACTTGGAAATAGCAACCCGCTCCAGTATTCTTGCATGGAGAATCCCATGGACAGAGGAGTCTGGCAGGCTCCAGTTCATGGGGTCACAGGAGTCGGACATGACTTAGCGGCTAAAACCACCACCACCACCATGTATGAGCCTTTGGTTATTTTTCATATTTTACGAACACTTTCAAATAAAATATGAACCAACTGTATTTTCATATTGTTGGAGGTGTGTCTTTGAAGTAAGTTCCTAGAAGTAATCTTGTTATGTTATAAGGTAAATGTATATGTAGTTTTATTAAAAATAGCCTCATACATTGTCAGATTTGGGATCATATTTAGAAAATCTTACTCTATACTTTCTTTCTACTTTGATATCACTTTTGCTGTCTATGTATTCTTTGTTTCCATTTGTCTGAAACACCTTTGACTATCCTTTGATTTTTAGTCTTTCTGAAGCATTCTGTTTCAGATGTGTCTATTGAAAAGAGCATTTTGTTGGGCCTTTATGAGCCAGCTTGAAAATCTTTCGGTATAATCAAATTAAACCCTTTCACAGTTGCTAATGAGATGAATATGATTGCTTTCAACTCTTTCAGATTGTCTTATGCTATTTTTGTCATTCGTGTCCAACTCTTTGCAACCCCATGAACTGCAGCACTCTAGATGTCCCTGTCCTTCACTGTGTCCCTGGAGTTTGCTCACTTTCAAGTCCATTGCATCATTGATGCAGTCCAACCTTCTCATCCTCTCATGAAATTATTATATTCATTTTGTTCCTCTCCATATGTATGCTGTGTTCTCTTTTTAAAAAAGAGATTCCTAAATTTGATGTTTAGAAAATCCAGTATTTCCATTTTGGTAGTTATCTTTGTGCTTCTACCTTTATTTAATGCCTTTAGTCCTGTTTTTTTTTTTTTTAATTCACAATCTGTATTATCCATTTTCAGTGACATCCCTTAAGTTTCACCCTCTGCCTAAACCACAGCTAATGGGTTTATTCTACTTTCCTCCTTCCATCTGTATTCTCTTCCAGTTTTTAGTTTTGTTATTTTTTACTTGATTAGGAGATACTAAACATAACATAGAGCGTTATTATATAACATATTATTGTACCCTTATCCCCACCTTTGTTTTAGCCTTAGATTTGCAATTAAGTATGTTAAAGCTAAATTGCTGAAGTTTTCTCAGTCATCTTCTGTTGGATAAAGTTCATTTTCTAGCAGATTCCTCAAAAAGGACTCATGGAAAAAAATATGAGAGCTCGAGACGCCAAAATGTTTCTCTAGAGTTCACATAATAAAATTTTTTTTTCTGTGGTTTTCATAGTTAAACATGACTGGATCTTGGGTTTGTGGCTTTCTCAGTGATCCTGCCCCTTTTGCTTCTGACAGTTAAACATTCATTGTATCTGTGGTGGAGTTTCTTGTTCCTTTCCAATTTAGGAAATCTAGGTGATGCCTTGACCCTTCCCAGGGATACAGAGTTGTTTCTTGTTTTTCATTTTTCCTTTTACAAACTTCCCCAAGCCACAGCAAGTCTTTGTACCTGTGTTCTGGTTAACAATGTTTGATGACCTTATTGTGGCTTAAGGCTTTTTTTCTCAGTAAAGAAAAAGAATCGTCATAGGTATTTGTGTCCTTGATTCAGCAGTAAGGTCTCCTCTTTCAAGCCTGCACCATCAAGAACAGTTTTTGCTCTGTCTCCGATCTTTCTCCTGAGTGCCCAGTGTAGGCCCATGGAATTCCCATACCCTTTAGAGTTCTTGACATCTCTAAATAATTATACTACATTTCCCTCTAGTACTTTTATGGATTTTGGTTTACCTTTCAACCTTAATATTTCTGGAATTTACCCTGATGGGCAAACTGCTAAATAATCAAACCAGTTAGTTACAGTGAACTTCTGTTTCTCAGCCTCTCTTGAAGTTAGGCTCGGGACATGTGACAAGAATTAATTTGTGGAATATGAGTGAAAATTATATAAACTACTTCTAAGTCTGCCCCATGAAGTTCCACCCTTCTTTTGACCCTCAGTCAGGTGTCAAGTCCTGGGGAGACAGTAGAGAACCCTGTTTTTAAGATGAAGAAATAACCATTAATGTGGGAACCTCAATAACTGTGGAAATCATACTTACCACCTTTCCCTCCAGTTAAGCCAAATGGACTTAAGTTAGCCTCTATCAAACATCCTTGTGTAAAACCACTGAGAAGGTTTTTTATAGTACAAGTATTACTCTGATACAGAAACTGTTGCTAGAAAAAATGTTCCTATGACAAAAATCCAAAATATACTTAGCATTGGTCCACTATACAGTCAAGATGGAAACTAATATCCAAAGCTATAAAACTGGAGATTTGTGCATGCAATGACAAAACATTTTTTTAAATGGTCGTTTGCAATTGCTTGAAAGGTGGATGACGTGTTTATTGACCTCCTAATACTAAGGAGAGAGGCTGGAGAATGAAATGCTGGTATTGAGTGTTTATTGTTACTCTGGACTTACCAGGGTGGTAGGGGAAAAAAGAAAAATGGGATGTAGCAAAAATCTGTTAGTTTGAAAACAGAAAAAAAAAAAAGATGAAAAAGCCATGACTTCTAGTCCCAAATAATAAGAGATAGTGGACAAATGTCCACTGAGACTTCTGGGTCCACACAGACCTAAGTAAAGATGTGGCATTTCCTCCTAAGCATGATAGCTTTAAGCCATGTTGGCAAATGGAAAAAATAAGGCAGGCTTGAGAATTATATTTAGGAAAGAATTTTGAAGGATACTATTAGCATATGTAAGTGAGTAGATACCTCTACCTCAAAAATAGTAGTTGGTTTTTTTGTAATGCCGAAGACATTGAAAGTCTGGATTTCGGTAGCCTTTGAATTTTCTGTCATTATGAGTGTTTGGAGGGTCCCAAACTTGCTTAGAGAAGAGATGAGTTGCAAAAACTAAAGGCTCCCAGGAAAGGCAAAATGCCCATCTATTTCAAATATAATAATGGACCAAACAATCTCCAGAAAGGTAGATTCAGAGCTATGAAGAACACCGTATATGTAGTTCCTCCTAGACAGAAAAGCTGCTATCAGGAAAGTGGCCCACTACCAGAAAAGAGGGATCTCAAAATGTCTGCCAGAAGGATATCCTACCGAGTGCCCTCTGTGTGTCTCCCACATTCCCTTTACCAGATGGCAGTTTACAAACCTCCTGTCCATGCTTTACCGTGGTAAATTGGGTCTGGTGGCAATAGATTTCTGTAACTTTGTTATTAGTGCAACTGTCACTAGAACCTCAAGTGGCCATATCCAGAACTGGTGGAAAGAACCACACATCATTCAGAGATCTTAGCCTTTGAGCTGACTGTGATAACTGAATGGAATTTTGAGTTTTCTCTCTTGGGGAAGGAGGGAGTGTGCTCTATTAGGTAGGGCACCTTTTAACCAGAAGGACATACTATGTTAGAAACTGGCAAAGAAGTGTTCACTTAATATATTTCTTCTTTTAGTTCGGTACCTGGCTAAATTGCACTTCCCAGCCTCCTTGAAGTTGGCAAAGGCTGGCCAGAAGAATGTGGGTACATGATTTTCACCTGCCCCACAGAACTGTCCAGGCAATCTCCACATTTCTGTCTTTGTTTTCCAGCTAGATGTTAAACATCTTGGGCAACCTTACAAGATAGATTTACAAGATGGTGAAGTTTCTATTAATATCAGCCAGGGTCCCTGCTTGGTTGCATGGAACAGATCCCCATAACCCTATCCAGCCACCGAGTGAACTTCACAGGAGCAAGAGATAAGTATTTGGTTATGTCACTGAGATTTAGAGTATTAGCTCTTACTCCAGCTAAGAATTATTCTAAAACATATGTGTGATTGGTATCTTACTATTCTAGTTTTTCCAAAATGCATATTGTTCTAATGCCTTTTTTGAATAGTTGGGTTGTCTGTCCTTCTCTACTGATTTGAAATGTCACTGTATATTAATAATCACTCCATTGTTCCTAGACTCACTCTCTTTGCTGCTTATCTGTTTCTCTGACCAAATACTGTATTTTAAATTATTGTAGCCTTGTAATTTATTTAGACACTGAGTAGCTGTTTTTAGTTAAGTTTTTTTTTCCTCAGAATTTTCTTAGCAAGTCTTATGTCTTTTCTCTAGCAACAGATTTTAAAATCAGCTTGTAAGTTTTATTTAAAAAAATTGTCTTGGGATATTAATTTTGATTCCTTTTAGAAATTTTTCGTAACCTGGAATGTATTTGTATTTCAAGTGTGTTCTCATTGTTGTTCTGTAGTTATATGAAATGATGGGTCTCTTTCCATGGATGGGCCTAAAATGTGGAACTGCAGAAGAAATGATATGAACAGGAGCAAGCTCAGTAGTCTTAAATGTGACATCATTGTGCAGAAATTAAGTAGCTTTAAGTCGGAAACAGGGATGTTGTTTGTACTTGAACATGTGTTTTCCCTCAAGGGAAAACTGGTTGTGAAAGAAAGTCATTCTCCATGCTGTTTTCAGAATATAATTAAAAGGATGTTTTTCAATAAAGACGGCCAAAACTTAGAGGATCAGTGAATGGCAGAGTGTTATTTGTGTTTATTTTTAAAATAAACATGATATGAATATTCTTTGTTTAGCTTAGCGCTATTATGGACAGAAGTTCACAGTCTTTACATACACCAACAATAACCAATTTAGCTCAAGTCTGAAATAAGTGTGAACTAGTTCTGATTTTTTTTTAAAATCGTAGGTACCACCTGTGATAAAAGAGAAATTTATAAGCCCTATCAACTTTTTAAGGTCTGTAAGTGCTATGTCTACAATCTGAAAGTTCTTGTCCTTCCTGTTTCTAATCATCATCTTTATCAGTTTGAATTCCTACCCTGCTTTCCTCTTTTGTTTCTTTAATCTGTCCTTTTCTAAACAAAGCACTTAAAAATCTAAGAATAGAAGTTTAATTTCTCAGCATAAAAATGGGTATCTTTCACTAATAATATTGCATTTAATGGAGAAATATTGGAAGTTAGAAACATAACAAGGATGGCTCTCATTACACTATTACTATATTTTCACTTGACATTGTTTTAAAAGTTGAAGCCAGTACAGTTAGAAATGGAAAGGAAGAAATAAAATCGGTTCTACCTCTGCCTCATTTATAGTGGTATTTCTCATTCATTTTATTCCAATTTTATTGTGGTTACAGTAAGGATTTTTTTGTTTGTTTTTTTATCCCCATCTTCGTGTAAGGTATCCAAATTCCCTCACCCCTTTCTCCAGGAGGATCCACAAGTGTCCAGGACTGTTGAATGAGAGGTTGCTTAGTCACTCAGTTGTATCCAGCTCTTTGCAACCTCATGGACTATAGCCCTCCACCCCTGGGATTCTCCAGACAAGAATACTGGAGTAGGTTGCCATTCCCTTCTCCAGGGGATTTTCCTGACACGAGGATTGAACCTGGGTCTCCTGCATTGGCAGGCAGATTCGTTACCATCTGAGCCACTGGGTAAGCCCCAATGACCTGTAGATAAAAAATCAGAAAACCTTTCATTCTGCTTCCCAAAACTCTCAAAATTCTTGACCTTCCTCTTTCTAACCATCTTCCTTATCAGTTTGAATTCGTACTCTACTTTTCTGTTTCTTTTCCAGTTCCTATTTTATTTGAGGCCAGAGAAAACAACCCTACAAGTATGGCTATAAGAACTCATCAGGCACTTTAAGAGTAAGGTTTTTTTGAATGTTTGTTCCTAAATGAATATGAACTGGGAGTAGAGAATGACCAATTGAGGCTAAGTGAGAAAGAAAAAGTGAGAAAAACCCTGAAAACAACAAAATAAATACTACATGGGTTGCATACCTAGTATATAGGGTTCTTTGGCATGCACTCAGTAAATGATAACTCTTAGTTCTTGAGAAACTCATCTGACTACCAATGAATCATTTATAAATATTGTCAATCTTTTAGTCATTTTGCTGACAATTAACATTTTAGGGAGAAGGTGTCCTTTAATTCATTGAACATGGGATCTGGAGCTGTGTCCTGCTTGGTGTAGGATATCATGGTTAGCAATGCAATGTGGGCAAAGTATTCCCCCAAAAGGAAATCAAGATGCTAATATCTCTTAAATAGTAGAAAGACATGGTGTTAGCCAAGAAAGAGTAGCTGTCCTCTACAAGTCTAGTAAAAGAGCATGAATATATGTGAATCTATTTAAAAAAAGAAACAAAACACCTCCCCATGTGTACCCCAGGAAGTACTTGACTCCTGGAGAGACAGGAGGAGTAAGGGGAATAGTCAGTTGTCTAGTTTGGCTAGAGAAGAGAATGCAGAAAAGTGGTAGATATGAAACTGATGAAGTGGAGAATTAAGGCTAAAGGAAGGCCTTGAATGTCATTTAAGGTTCTTGAAGTTTAGTTTACAGGAAATTGAGAAACTCAATTGGAAATTGAAAAATCTGAGGATGGAGAAAGCTATGTACTTGTGTAGAGATTTGAAGCATGTAATATAACCACCTTGCCAAGTATCCTTAGCTTTTTTGTATTTCCAGTAACTAACCTCTTTGAAAATGTTCTAGGTCACAGTTTTCCCATGATATTTCAAATCAACAGATCCTCTGTGTAAGGTTAAAATTACCTTTAACAATAATGGGAGAAAAATATACAGGCACATGGGAAAAACAGCTCCAAAAACAATGTTTTGGTTTTTCTTGTGCAAGAGCACAGCACCTTGCATGTCTTTTATAAGGTTCCAGAGCTATCTCAGGTTACTAAATGGAGGGGAAGTAAAGATCAGCTATCCAGTTTCATGTTAAATGTTATTTAATTTAGTAAAGTGCATTAATGAAATAAACAGCTCAGTTCAAGTTAAAAAGCGTGTATACCATTATGGAATACTCAACAGTTCTTTTTTTTTTTTTTTTTAGAAAATCACCTAATATGGAAATTTGATAATGGATCTAGCAATGATCATCAATGACTGCTAAAATGAGTAGGTAAGAATCTATTGGGGATTTCTTTAGTGGCTGTATCAGACTGACAATGCTGAGCCCACTAATCATTTTTAACATCACAAAAAGATAGATGGTAGAGACATCCTGGGCTTCCTCATATGATGCAGTTATGAAGGATGCACCACCATCATGTCTTGTTGCTCCCCCAAATCAAACCTAACCTACATCTGGTCAAGCCTCCATATTTGACTTTTCATTGGAAATACAAGGAACAGAAGAATGTGTTAATATTAAATGACACCACCAGGATCCAGTCTTCAAAATCTAGAATGTGGAAAATTCTATGAGATAATAGGTGTTCTATTAAAAAAAAAAAATTCACACACTTTAATAGCAAGACAAAGAAAAAATGATAAAAGGGAAATATATAAATTTTAAAGAGACTTAAAACACAAAATAACTAAGTTAATGTGTCCTTGTTTAATCCTGAATCAAACAAATCAACTTTAAAAAAAATTTTTAAGACAATTGGTGAAATTTGAATGCTAACTAGGTATTTCATGCTATTAAGGAACTGTTACCTTAATTTCACTGCAGTGAAATGAATATTATTTATTGATGACAACCAACTTTAAATAACTTCATAATGGAAGTATTGATTTTGAATGAAAATCTAGAGTATTCTGATAAGCAAACTCTTAACCCTAAGATGTTTTTCTAAGCATATTCAAATGAGACCACTGTTTGAGGTTTAAACACTCTTATTGGCCTCTTGTTGATCATCAAAAGAGAAAAAAAATCCCATAGGACCACCTGTTGCTAAATTGTGGAATCCTGTACATGAAAGAGAAAAAGAAGGATGACCTTTTTTTTCCATGTTTCTAATACTCAGAAGTATTCCTTTTATAAAATTGGGGAGCAAGGGGCGGAAAATAAGGCTTTGTATGCTTAGCTGCTGATAAGCCTTCTCAAACTCTGAAAGAGTAACAGGATAACTCCCTGTGGACAAAAAGTCATCTCTGGTCAGCCTGGGCCTTGGAGAAAATCTTGACATTGTATGTCCCTTTCCAGAGAACTAGTTGCCTAAATTAATGAAGAAGTTGCACCATGGATGTGTTTTCCATCCCATTCCTCTTACTTCATCCCCTCAGATCTCTCATCTGCAAAGCAAATTTAACCCAGTTGCTGATGCTCTTGGACTCAGGTGCAGAAACGTCAGGGATGAGTTGCGCCACTCTTGCCTCACCCCAGGATCAACCACGTGTAAATTTTTCTATATCATGGATTAAAAAGAATGGTGAAAACACTAAGATAATACTGCAAGAGGGAGGGGTACAGCTGACTACTGTTACTCTCACCCAACCCTCTCATTACAGCTGCAGTTCTTCCAGAACACTAGTATTTTGCTGTGTTTTCCTCTGAGGTTTTCATTCCCCACTTTTTCTGCCATTGAATTGTACCCACTCTAGAGGGACTGTAACTACTTAGAATGTATCTTTGATTGATGAACTAATAATAATGAACAGTGCTTGAAACAGCGAACGCTGATGAGCCCAGAGTAATCATCTTTTACACTGTACCTTTCCTGGAGCAGCTGAGGAAAGCAGGAAGTCGGTGGTGTCAAGTGTCGCCAATGCCCTACTACTGTCAAATCTGAAAACTGCCAGCCACAAGCCTATGTCTGTTTTACCCGCAAGGGCTCCTTAAAGGTAAATTGTTTGTGGATTAATTATTGTTCTCCCAAAACACTTTCCCACAGTTTGGGGCCTGTTTGTCTTCTTAGGCTACTGCTGCTGCTGCTAAGTCGCTTCAGTCGTGTCCGACTCTGTGCGACCCCATAGACAGCAGCCCACCAGGCTCCCCCATCCCTGGGATTCTCCAGGCAAGGACACTACTAGCTTCAGGTTAATCTGGTGCACATTTAAATAAGGATTACTGTGAGAGCAATGTTTCTCTTCATATAAAGAATTTGTACCTTGAGCCAGATGTGTCCCCTGGGTGCACATATGCTCATGAGTATTTCTAAGAAATGCGAATCAAAACAGAGGGCAGGTATTCTTTCAGTGCCTGTTCCGCATCCTTGGAAGTAGCTGGTAATGATGACAAAAGTTAGAATCTGTTCAGGTATGATAGTTTCTTTTTAAAACATCCGCTAGATTTTTATCCATCATAGACAAGTTTCAAGTCGTGTGAGCTTGATAAAGAGTTTGTTAATATAAAAGGCAATTAAGCAAAATCACCAACCATACACATGGCTTTAAGATCTTAATCTAAGTGAAATTCATATCATTTATTTATATGTAACAACAAATGACCACTCTAGACACTTGAAATCATTTATTCAAGGCATTTTTACATAATCTTGCAATCATAGTATAGGCATATAATAAAAGAATGTGAGAGTGTAAAGAAGATTATAAAGCCAGTGTCTGGGCATTTAAAATAAGAGCTCTTAAAAAAAAAGTTAAAAATGTTTTACAACTAGTATTCCTGAAAAATTTGGAAGAAACTAAAACTTCATTAAAAACATTACAATACCAAATCACATGTTACTTAGTTCATAGCAAGCAGTTATATATTAAATGTTTATATCCTGTGAGCTAAGACAACACATTTTACATTCAAGTTGAAATAATTCAGCACCATTTTGATTAGAAGGATAAATGACATGCTTTAAGCATTCAAAAGTGGCCCGAGACTTTTGGTAGCTGGGAATGAAATGTGGCTATTGATTGTGATATGAATTCTAAACATAAAAATATAGAAAAGGGTAGTTTTACTTATTAATTATACTGTTAGTATCAAAACAAGTTATTTTTAAAACAAAATGTCTTCTGATCAGAAGTTCAGTATTTTAACATAATTTGGTAAAGAGAAATTCTTAGTACCATGATTTTAGTGAACTGCATTTTCTCTACAGTCTGAATATTGAGAAGATTATGAGTGTGATGATCTCTTATGAGGTCAAGGAGAAAAAAAAAATTTGTTCTTCATTATTAAAAATAATGTCTAGTAACTAATTAGCAATTGTGAATGTCATTATGTAAAAATATAAAGATGTCCTGGAAATAGGCAAGTTATGTGAGACTGAACCCTAGCCTTAGAAGGCAAGACATCTCTAATACAAACTGTGGTCTGAATTATGAGGCCACTAATAGGGCATATGGAAGACTCACTAAGTTATCTTCCTATTTTTTCACAGTCTGTGTTTAAAAACCAGTCTCTTTTCAGTACTTAAAATTCTTTGTTTCATTTCTACTTCCTGTTTAAAAGATTTTATTTAGAGTTTGGTAAGGCTGGATTATGTTTTTTATTAATGGATGCATTTTACCAACTAATCAGTATCTGTGAGTTTTGGTGGTTATTCAGAAAAGAGATTCTTTGAGGTTCAAAAATACTGAGTGTTAAATTAATATTTG